TTACAAATAATAACTAAAGGATAAGGTAAATATATTTTGTGTATTATTTTGCATATTGGTTAGGTATAGATCAGATTACAAATGTTAAATACATATTTAATAAACTTTCATCATTAAAAATTTTTACTCGTTTGACAAATCTCTGAATAATCAAGACATCTTGATTAATTTCTCACTCTTTCACTGGTTTGCTCAACCAATCATGATGGACTCTAAGAGAGTGGAATATGAAAAAGACTCTTGTCCATTCAGGTCAGTCAAGGTGATGTCCTTTATGACATCACGAAAAACGGACCTTTCAAGCCTGAACATTTCAAGTCATGGAGTTTTTAGCAGTTGGATTGCTATTTCTAGCTTCTTGTTGGGTGTTATTATTTTATTTATAATAATTAAAGAATGATAAAAATATTAAATACACATTAATCTTATCCTTTGAATCAAAACGCTTTAAATCTAAACTACAAAATAACTTAAAATTTCAACTCAAATAAAATAAGACATTGAATAGAAATATTACAAAATTTAAAAACAACAGAATATTAACTGGCTTTTTCATGACCTGGACGCTTTTTACAAGCCTGTTTATATCCATACCTGAGTTTATGGAATCCAAAAGAGTCAACACAGCAATGACTATTTGTAAGTATCTATATAATTATTGCCAGGGTTTTATGTATGTGGGCTGGGATTCGTTTACAGTAGGGGTCTGTGACTTGTTGGTGATAAATTCGAACAATAAACGGACAGCACACAACCCACTTGTTTTAAAATAATATATATATATATATATTCAAAACATGTCAAATGTATGTATACAAAATGTCCCTACACGATGGGATATTATAGTTGTATCTAAAACTCTAAATAATTATCTTTTCTTGTCAAAAGCAGACACAGGCTGATTCAATTACTTTAGAATCCAATTGACAAGACGAATTATTTTTCTCTACTCTGTTACTGTATACTTTGCGATAGATTCAGTTACATTACCCCGTGGGTTACCACAGTTGCATGCAGAACTTTAAATAATTGTCTCCTTTTCGTCAAAGTTCACACAGGCGGGTTCAATTACTTTAGAACACCCTTTGAAAAGACAAATTATTCTCCTTATCTTTGTTAAACTGTGAAACTTACTTTAACAGGCCCCTCATGAGTCAGTGGGGGACATTTTTGTTGAGAAAACAAACTACTCAATCCAGTTTTTCTTAATTTGAACTGAATTTTTTGGATATGTTTATTGGCTAAAAAGAAAGCATTTCTCGCACTCTTTTAGCGTTGGGGCTGCGAAAAAAAGTGATTTGAAGTGGTAAAGTGACTGAAATCCATCAGCGCATCATGAACTTAACAGCCAAGCACTAGAAGCATGGAAGTCTCCAAATGGCACACAGAGGTATTCAAGAATCGTTTAGAATCACCTTGTTAGATATTGTGCAGCAAGCCAAGTACAATATTATGCCTGTAGCTGCTTTCAAAGTGTTCCTTCTGCTCATCCTACTGATGACGATAGTGATGCTTCGACCTTCCTAACGGAATCGCAGATGAAATCATTCGTATCTCAATTGAAAGCTACACATAAAAAGGTGATAGCAGAAGCATAAAAGATTTGCAATTGCTTAATTAATGATGCTGAGAATGTAGCTTTATTGTTATATAATGATATTACTCCTAGTGGGTAGACCTTAGTACTAGCTAGTATGGGAATTTGAGATGCTGTATTTCACTTAAAAAATTAT